ATGGAAATAAATATAAACGACTCGCGCGGCACGGCTGGCTGAACGAAGCAGCGCGGCGTCAACTTCGTAGATCGCTGGCGGTGGTGGCCCTCCTTAAACTTGATTTGTGCTCAATTACCGCGATCCTCGCGTCCTCCTCATGCCCGCTTAGCAAAAGCCGAACGCGAAATGTTTGCGGGCGTCGCGACAATTTTATTTATACGCGCCGCAAACCGGCCGCGGCGTCGCGGCGTAACGGGCGTAAAAAAGGGGAAAAAAACGGAAAAGAGGGCGAGAAAAGGAAACGGAGAAGTGAAGAAGACATATACATTCTGTCGCCGATGCATCTCTGATGCATCTCTGATGCATCGGAGAACGTCGCGCAATTCGTTTCGCGTTTTATATTCGGCGCGATTCTACCCATTTTTTTTTCACATCCCGAATCCACGCGTCGTTGGTTTCCCCGCGCGTATGCAGACTCGTCCGATTCATCCCCGTGGAAAACGACGGTAACCTGGATTATTTCGATCTTCGCTCCCGCTAAAGTTAGCCAAAGAGATTACCGCGGCGCGACACGATTTCATCCACGACGAGAGGAGGGAGCGCTCGGGGCGGGGGTTGGCAGAGACCGGATTGCGACGCGACTACGTCGCTTAAATATCACGGTAAACAGGGCCCGATGTAATTCGGATGCCGGCGCAGGTGCCACGCGGAAACATCTATCAAGATAGCGAGATTGGGGGCGTGAGACACGGCCCCGTTTCCCGTAGAGAGAAAGGACGGAAGGAGACAGGGCGGGGTGGATCAACTCGAAGAAACGGGGGATTTCCACGGGACAGAGAAGGACTCTAAGCTTTCACGGGACGGCTCTCTACGTCGTCTTAACCCTTTCCAGCTAATACCGGATCGTAGGGAATTAACGGCCGCGACGACGATCGTGTCTTCGAATATCTCTCCGCGAAGTAAGTGCGGTTGGCTGTCTAATAATTTACGAGCTCTGAGAATATCGCGCAGTCGTCTCGAAATTTTATCGGAAAACGATTGTCATCGCAAAAAGTATTCCAGAAATTCGATAAGTTTTGAAAATATAAAATGTAGCTTTATGATATGCTTTATCTATATGATGTGGATATAAAACGATGTCAACGACTTCATTTTTTTATAGTTAATAGTGAATTGTAAATTTGGCGGACATGAAGATGTTTATGTTATGTATAATCACATTTATAAGCTGTAAAAATAACACGCGACATTCCGTAAGTTTATCTCAGAAACGAATCATCATATTGAGAAAAGATACAAAAATGAAAAAATTATTAATACATATATGAAATACTACGTCACACACGACAATCTATATATGATATTTCATTTCTTTCTATCTTTTAGATAGAAAATCGCAAAAAGTCGAAAAATACACTTCGCTATATAATGATCTATAAGCGTCGGAAATATCACGGTATTGCCTGAAAACTTCATCGAGAAGCAATCACTGTTACGCAATGAAGTAACGATTCAAAAAAGAAAATACAATTTCATTACAGACGGTAAGACAGAATTGACAAGATCTCTACACTCGCAATAATTAACTTGAATGTCGTTGCGTAAGCGACGCGATGTAAGATGAGACAAGGCTGCGACAATGTGCGGCGAAATTCCACCTTAAGTGGAAACGCATATTTAAATTTATTATTACGACGCGCGTAATGGCCGCGAACGGCGATTTATTAATTACCGCCATTATAGATATACGCGAGATCTCGCGGACTACATTCCTGAATCCGTAAATTGCGAACGTACCGAAGACGGTCGTAAAGTGTCAGTTATCTCTCGCGGCGATCTCTCTCGCGCGCTTGTCTCGTTTCTCTCGATTCGTCGTCGCTTTTTAACCGCAACGGATTCGATGTGCGGGCGCGTTTCGTAATCCGCGTTTCGTGTCTCGTTCGTATTCACCGAGATATCCGCGAACTACCTACGCTAATGACGAGCGATTATTCGCGATGTGACCGTACCGGCGATTACGTTAACAGCCGTAAATATGCACCTCGGTCGTTAATGTAATCGCGCTGCACTTATCAGTCACACCTGCGACAACGACGAGATATCTTCGCGAAATGTCCTCGAGTGCGAACGTATTTACCTATTTACAAGATGTGTTCTTTGCGAGAACCAAAAATAAAATTAGCGAGAAAATATTAGAGAAAAAAAGAATCGTGATCAATATCCTAATCAATTGCGAGTGATTCGAATATTGGTGGTATATAATAATCATACGTATTATAGGAGAAGGAGAGATGGAAACGAGATTTCTCGAGAAAACGGGACACGCGAGCGTAAACAACCGGGAAGGAGGATTGTCGACAGTGCAGTCGCGACTGACGGTCCAGATACGAAAATCGTAAAGTCGCTACATAATAGCGGCTAGTATAATATCCAGCGCGAGGCACTTCGCGTCGAGATTAAAGGTGCATAAAGCGAACGGCACATAAACGTTTTACAAGCTCTTCACCTCTATAGCTGCAAAAAGCTACGATGCGCGCGAGCGCATTAAAATATATTTTAAACGTTGCGTTACGCCAGAGCGTGATGCGGCTACGGTTCGTACGTCGTTCGACATTGTTAAGATGCATTTGTATCATACGAGTGTAGAGCACGTGCACATTCATTGTAATGTGAACGGTGATCGAGAAACGAATGAACTCGTTCTTTCGAGCGAAAACGTCTTCTATCATATAATAAATTTATAACAAATCACGATGTAAATTGGATAGTTCTTGAAAAGCAAGTTTTAATATTTTAGTATTTTCTTAACTTTGTATTATCATTATTATTGTAATGCTATTACATTAAATAATTATATTTGTTTTATTTATTTTCTTAGTGTCTAAAATAGAGCAAACAAATGTGAAAGTGTCAATCATTCAATTGAAAGATACAAATATATTCTTGATAATTAAAATTTACTTTTCCTAGCTTATTTTTCCAAATATCTAAAGAAAAAATATAACGTTCTCGAAATAAGATATTACGAATCTCTATTAGTTTATGATGTAACGCTGATGACATGAAATTATTTACATCGAAATATATTACGAGTAGTATGCGGGATATCCATCGTTTTAACAAAGGAATTCGTCCGGGACAAGGTAAACAACGAGTACGAGCGAGGAAATGAACGTATATTGGTGCTTACATATGTAAGCGGATCTTTACACTCGGTTTCGCTTGCCTCTACTCGGCCTCGCGGAAATTATTGCGCTCGCATGGATGACGCTTGGACACAAGCCACGTGAACGCAATGAAAGAAAGTAACGAAACTGTACGCGATACTCGATATATTAGCGGAACGCGTATTTTTACGCGGTGAAGCAACAGTAATCTGATAATATTTTCATGAACCATGATAAAGAGAATTTTTAGCGGGTCAGTGTAGATTTAGCGCGATAAAACACATCGGAAAGAGACAAAGCATTGCTCTCGGATCCGAGCGAGTGAATTGTATGGGAAAGTGCACGGCGGTACATTATGTAAAATTACGTAACCCGATTTCCGATCGACGATGATGTAGCCGATGCGAAATGTTTCCGATTAGTCGTAACGATCCGGAATAAATTTCGCTTTATCGGAAAACGAAATGATCTCTTCGCGGCGATGCTACAGTGGCTTGAAATGTAAGGCGGAATTTAGCACGGATCCTTCTCTTTAATGACGGTATTTTATAACTCACTTGGATCTAAGAGCAAACGGCAATTTACGTCTTTTTATATATATATATATATATATATAAGTACGTTCTACTCTTCTGTTTCTCAATCTTACGTTATGAAACTTGCTCACTTAGATGATACAATCTCGTTTTAAATTTCCTGTATTTCTCTAATGACCATTACTAATTATTTTCTAGTCATTCTCGCAACATCGGACAAATACAGCGGAAAATAAGAACCTTTCTATGTTCTATTTATAAAAAGCGCGCGCGGCCACCATTAATTATATTGTTTTTCTAATACATATGGGAAACAGGAACAACTATCTGTTTCTCATAACTGTCTCTATAGAATTATTTCTTTTTATATCGATACGGTAACGATGCGTCAAATTTCACAAATACAATACTCGTTTATCAAAATTACGCAATCGCTGCAACGAGCAAAATTGCGAGTGTCGATGACGCACGATATCAGAACGAATTAGAATCAAAGTCAGAAAACCGCTGTCGTCGCAATTCGCGCTTCTTTGCAAGAGAGAGAGAGAGATGATAGAAAAACACAAATTATAGGAAAAATTTCAAAATTCCGCACGTTCGCTCAGTTCGTCTCGCGCTCAAATTTGCTGACACACGTATGCCTACTACAACGTTTGTATTCGCATGATTGGCGCGCTGAAATAATCAGCTCGTTGCAACGTCAACGTGCGATTGCTGGTGCCGGGGTTCCGGTCGTGCACGCCTCGTTCCGTTTGATGTACGGACGTAATTTCAGGGTGTCTGGAATTCGCATATGACACGTGCGACGTGCCATATGATTCGACACCCGTCCGCCCGCTCTCATGCCCGCCGGTCTAGAAAAAGTTTCTCTCGCTTGGCACGCACGCAACGAACTTTCGATCGTCATCGTTCGGGAAGACTCGATCACGACCGAGAGATAAATTTGTTTACCCTCACGAGCACGCGAAAGAGTCTGAACACACCCTATAAAATTTCCGATTAGCGCAGTTCCCGATGACAAATGTTTAGAATGAAATATATGTGCTTTATAGTTTTCAACACGATTTGTTTTATTCCGCGGTGTATTTCAGATTTATCGAATTTTTTTCAATCGGAGATAATATCGGAGGTAAAACTAACAGCAAGATAAATTGAAAATTAAAAGATTTTTTCATGCGATCTTTTTGTAAAACTATCAGGGATTTTAATATTTTGATAAAAATAATGGAAAATGCAATAATACCTATTTTAGTCGCGCAGATAATTGCATCGCGCGATAAATGCATATAAAATGTGTAAAAAGTAATTTACTCACCAATTGTTAACCTGAAGGATCGTCAACCCCGTGTCCTGCGCCAACTGTTTTTTCTGGTCTTCCGAGGGGTATGGATGCTGCAAACAGAAAGAGTAAATCCGCTCCATTAACGATGAAATTGAGCATGAACAATCTCACGTACTTAAGTAACGACGTGAGCCAAGAACTCAAGCGTCAATTAGCGCGAAACTGCCGACGAGAGATTGCAATTATTAAATACTATCCCTGACACACAGAGCAGTTACGTCAGGCGCAACAATTAGCGGACGTAAAACGCGCGGATAAAAAAAAGAAATTTCTTCTCTCCATCTCGCACTACCATCGCTTCATCGTTTCGCGTCTCGCCGACGCGAACGCGAGCTTTCAAACGATTTATCGAATGATTTATCGTGCACCAAGGTAAGTAAATAGAACAATACATAGTGCGTCGCGAGCAGACTTTTATCTGCGCGACGATGCGCGTATTACGGGCTTCGCGTCGTCTGGATGCACCTGCGAAATATTATTTATTGCTGGTCAACAATAATAATAAAAAAAAAAAAACAGAGAAAAGGAAGAGGAGAGATTGGGGGAAGAGACAGCGGCACGGCAAAAAGTTCCTGTTATGTATCGCGCGCTTGGACGACCGCATTTTATCGCGCGGTTGCATCGGCGCAGATGCGCTCGTGCTACGCCAAAACGACAATGCGCCGGGGCTCTGTTCATACTCCCTCTCGTGAAACGGAGAGACTTTATTAGACCGAAGAAATGCGAAAATAATACTGGCATAATAAAAGAAATTGACGAACAGGAAAAGTCGCTCGTCCTTCGCTCAATTTCAAGTAATGCATTGATATCTTGGCCACTTTGGTCAAAAAATTTTTCTGTTTCATTATATTTCTTTCATAAAGATGTAAAGAATTACGTTTTTTTTATCATTGAAAAAGTGAATTATTGTAATAGGAAAAAAATAAACCTGTTTATTGCCTTAGAAAAAGTTTAGCAAAATATTAATATAAATCAATAAATAATAAATATGTAAAAATAAATGTAATATTTTATTTATATAAATAATAAATAAATTATTTTTTTAATAATGCATATAATAAAAAATGGTTTCAAGTTGATTATCCTTCCGTGTCTACTGAATGAAATTCGGATAGATAAATTATACGCTCGTCAGATATTCCATCGATCTTGCCACGCAGGCGTATAAATTCATGCAGCATTCTAGCCGTTCATCCGGAGGAGTTACTGCGCGCATTAATATCGCGCTCTCAACAAGAGCCGAATCTTTCTGATGTTATTACGCAGTCAACCCTGCGCCAAGTTTCTAAAAGATGTATGACATGCGTGCCAGAGAAAAGGAAGAGGAGAGATTGGTGGAAGAGACAGCGGCACGGCAAAAAGTTCCTGTTATGTATCGCGCGCTTGGACGACCGCATTTTATCGCGCGGTTGCATCGGCGCAGATGCGCTCGTGCTACGCCAAAACGACAATGCGCCGGGGCTCTGTTCATACTCCCTCTCGTGAAACGGAGAGACTTTATTAGACCGAAGAAATGCGAAAATAATACTGGCATAATAAAAGAAATTGACGAACAGGAAAAGTCGCTCGTCCTTCGCTCAATTTCAAGTAATGCATTGATATCTTGGCCACTTTGGTCAAAAAATTTTTCTGTTTCATTATATTTCTTTCATAAAGATGTAAAGAATTACGTTTTTTTTATCATTGAAAAAGTGAATTATTGTAATAGGAAAAAAATAAACCTGTTTATTGCCTTAGAAAAAGTTTAGCAAAATATTAATATAAATCAATAAATAATAAATATGTAAAAATAAATGTAATATTTTATTTATATAAATAATAAATAAATTATTTTTTTAATAATGCATATAATAAAAAATGGTTTCAAGTTGATTATCCTTCCGTGTCTACTGAATGAAATTCGGATAGATAAATTATACGCTCGTCAGATATTCCATCGATCTTGCCACGCAGGCGTATAAATTCATGCAGCATTCTAGCCGTTCATCCGGAGGAGTTACTGCGCGCATTAATATCGCGCTCTCAACAAGAGCCGAATCTTTCTGATGTTATTACGCAGTCAACCCTGCGCCAAGTTTCTAAAAGATGTATGACATGCGTGCGACGTTGTGCACCTGCATGCTACGTCAAACCCGGTATCTTTATACACGTATAACATTAACCTTCGCAAAGTTCAAGTGTTCCCTTTGAATGCATAGTATAATATCGAGAGGCGCACCAACAAACTTTTATCAAAATTTGTGACGATTAATTCGCGGATATAATTCAAATAATTATTAACGATCAATGCAATTAATTCAAAAAATATTTTCGCATTGTTATCGAAAAATAAAAAATTGAAAAATCAAATGCTCTTTTTCTATTCGAATGGATACAATCTTTTTCCGGAAATAGCATTGAAAATATTGTGCACGCGAACACTGCCGGCGCTCAATTACATTACACCTAGCGAGACGTATTAATTTAGCCGGCGCAGCCACATCTCAATTTTAATCTCGCATTAACCGCAATTATGAAATTAGACGCACGTAATCGTCACAGGTAAATAGTCCGCCGACAGTTACGTTCCCAGCGGGGACATTCCCTCCGTCTATCCGCTGTCTATCCATGACACGCGATAGCACAATGTCGCTTAATTTCCTGAATGTGCAAGAAAAAAAAACAACGAAGTCTTCGATTTGCATAAAAAAATCATTTCAACACATGTTTTTGTACTCTATATTCTAACTTTTAAAATATTAATTCGCATTTAAGATACCTCTCGTACATCAAAGGTATAAGCGCATTCATTATCCAAATCCCGTGACACGTACATGCATTACGTTCGATATAAAATTAACCGTGCTCGATATCCGTGCCAAATTATCGATCGGCACAAAAGAATCCGGCTGCGCATAAAAGCCCGCGGCAGCACCGCACGCGGGCAAACCGCATCATATTTTTACATAATTAGCACGTGGCCTCGGCGGTATTATGTCCCCTCTCTCTCCCTCCCTCCCTCATTCCTCCTCTCAAGCGTCCCCGATCGTTACTTTTTGCCGAAGCCTGTAGTATTTTTGGAAACCGCCGCAGATCTATTCCCCGAACCCGCGTTCCCCTGCTCGCTCCTCAACCGACGCTGTATCATGTTTCTTGGAGGCGAGCCACGGTATACATACATCAGAAGCGTGGCTCCGTCCCCCACTCCCGCCTTTCTTCCCTCCCCCCCCCCCCC